ACACACATACACATATGTTTCGTTGATTTTGCTTCTCTAGCGAACTCAACCGAAGACAGTGGGCCACACACTTGCTAGAAGTGCCATATTAAAGCAATCACTGCATGGTATTGCACTATGGTTTCAGTCTTGAAATCCACATTTTCCTACTTGTTATTAGTTGTCAGTTCTGACTAATGATGAGTCCATCTGAGCAGAGAAGCTCCACTGGCCTTCCTTTTAGATAGATCCCATCACCACTTTTGACTAGTAGCCAAGCACTTAGCCATTCATACCACCCAAGGCGTTGAGTCTGGACTGCGGAAACCCTTCCACTTCTGGAAGGTTTATAAAAGCTGGCTTTAGTCCCTGCATTGCTGAATACCGGGGCACTGATGCAACAGAAACAAGACTACAGAACCAGAATGGAGCCCTGGTGGCATAGTGGGTTAAGCGTTGGTCTGCGAAACACAAGATAGGGGGTTCAAAGCTACAAGTTGTTCTGTGGGAGAAAGATGAGGCTGTCTATTCCCATAAAGATTCACAGCCTCAAAAACCCTAAGGAGTAGTTCTCTGTCCTATAGGGTCACTGAGCCGGAATCAACTCGATGGCAGTAAGAGTGATCGTAACCGGAAGGTCAAACTTTCACCTAGGTACTCCCTTGCTTAAGTTTACTACCATGTAAAAGTAAAACACCCAGTTACTTACCCAAAAGTCAAGTCATCTGAAAAGTTCATTGGTATGTGTGTGTTCATAAATGTTTAAAACTACTTCTGCCTAGAAGTTTCAGTTTCTGCTGAATTATGATACGTAAATAGCAGAAGGAAGGGGCAATGCTTGTTCTAATTTTAAAATGTGAATAATTAACCTTCCGGGAAAAAAAAAAAAAAAGCAAGCAGAATTTTAAAAGCCGTAAAGCACTTGAGGCCAATAAATATGTAATTTAAGAATAGATGGGTACAAGCAGTACAGACCTGTACACACCTGCTTTATGACTGCAGCAATTCCCATGAAATCAGTCATTACTTCAGTTAAAATGTTGGGCCATTAAGGTCCTGCAGCAACTTCTTCAGGTCCTTAACCCAGAGAAGATTCTAGATTATCATTATGCTGGGAACGACCCCACTATAGTAAGGAGCCATGGTGGCACTGTGGGTTAGGCATTGGCTGGCTAACCAAAAGAGAAGGATGAAGCACTCTGCTTTCTAGAGGATTTACAACCTTAGAAACCCTATGGAAGAGTTCTGCTCCGTCTATAGGGTCACTCCAAGTTGGAATCAATTCCACAACCAGAGGCTGTCAACTCAACTCCAATTCATGGTGATCCAGGTGTCAGAGTAGAAAACCCTAGGGTTTTCAATAACTGATTTTTCAGAAGTAGATAGCCACATTTTTCTTCCAAGGCACCTCTGGTTACACTTGAACTTCCAACTTTTCCATTAACAACCTAGCACATTGTTTGCACCACCCAGGGACTTCAGGATAAAGAGTCACTAATGATCTTATTTTCTTTCAAGAAAGTGAGGCGGCACAAGAGGCACTCACTCATCTCTGCCAAGAAATTTGGAAGACGACTATCTGGCCGATTGATTGGAAGATATCCATATTTGTGCCCATTCCAAAGAGAGGTGACCCAATGGAAAGCAGAAATCATCGGACAATCTCTTTGATATCTCATGCGAGTAAAGTTTTGCTAAAGGGAATACAGAAACAGCTATAATCATACATTGACAGAGAACTTCCAGAGGTTCAAGCCAGATTCAAGAAGCCGTGGAATGAGGGATATCATTGCTGATGTGTGATGGATCTTGGCTGAAAGCAGAAAATATCAGAAAGATGTTTACCTGTGCTTTATTGACTATGCAAAGGCTTTCGATTGTGTGGATCATGACAAGCTATGGACAACATTGTGAAGTATGAGTATTCCAGAACACTCAATTGTGCTCATGAGGAATCTGTACCTGGACCATGAGGCAGTTGTTCGAAAAGAACATGGGAACACTGAATGGTTTAAAAATAAGAAAGGTGTGCAACAAGGTTGTATTCTTTCATCATACTTATTCAACCTGTATGCTGAGCAAATAATACGAGAAACTGGGTTCTATGAAGAAAAACATGGCATCAGGATTGGAGGAAGATTCATTGACAACCTGCGATATGCAGATGATACAATCTTGCTTGCTGAAAGTGAAGAGGACTTAAAACATTTACTGATGTAGATCAAAGAGCACAGTCTTCGGTATGCATTACATCTCAATGCCAAGAAAACAAAAATCCTCACCACTGGACCAATAAACAACATTCTTATCAACAGAGAAAAGATTGAAGTTGTCAAGGACTTCATTCTTCTTGGATCAACTATCAACACTCACAGAAGCAGCAGTAAAGAGATCAAACGACATATTGCATTAGGCAAATCTGCTGCACAAGACCTTTTTAAAGTGTTGAAGAGCAAAGATGTCAGCTTGAGGACTAAGGTGCGCCTGACCCAAGCCATGGTATTTTCAATAACCTCATATGCATGCGAAAGCTGGACAGTGAATAAGGAAGATCGTAGAAGAATCGATGCCTTTTAGTTATGGTGTTGGAGAATATTGAAAGTGCCATGGGCTGCCAAAAGAACCATTAGATCCGTTTTGGAAGAAGTGCAGTAAGAGTGCTCCTTAGAGGCCAAGATGGCCAAATCTCATCTCTCATACTTTGGACATATTGTCTGGAGGGAGCGATTGCTGGAGAAGGATATAATGTTTGGTAAGATGCAGGGTTAGAGAAAAAGAGGAAGACCCTCAACAAGATGGATTGGCCAAGTGGCAGCATTGATGGACTCAAGCATGGCAACAGTAGTGAGGTTGGCCCAGGATCGGGCAGTGTTTCGTTCTGCTGTGCATAAGGTTGCTATGAGTCAGTACCAACTCGATGGCACCTAACAACAACAATGATCTTGTTTATATAAAAAAAAATTTTTTTTAAAGAAGGGAAATGTAAATAGAAAGAAGAGACAACGGGAGGGAGGAGGAGGAAGGGAAAGCAAAACAGAAGAAAGAAATTAGAAGAGTAATCTTGTTTCTTTGCCCCAGGAGCAAGTAATGTCAGAAATGGCCATTTTAACAACTGATTCTAGTGTTCTTTGACAGCACAAGGTAGTGATAGGGACCTAGCTTTCAGAAACCCACTGAATGGGTTCATCCTAACTTCACCATTTAGAAGTCCTTGAATAAGTCAGTTTGCTTCTCTGACCCTTTGCTTCTTTATTCACCAATAGGAACAGTTCTCCTACCACCCCGAGTTGTGGGTTTAACTGACAGAACCCTCTTAGGTGCAGGGCTTGTGGGATGCATCCTGACTCTTCTATGTCTCCTGTGTTCTGAAGCACACTCACCACTGGGATCCCACCTGGGAGACTTGTTTCCATTATCGATGCTGTCGTATCAGAGGGACAAAGCATAGCCAACGCTGTTGTATTTTTTATTACAAACAAATTAAATAAAATAGTGATCAATTATATATAAAAATGAACTGGGGTCCATTGTTTACAGCGGGGAAGGCTCGGAAGATGGAGACAGGGATGTAGCAACAGTATTTTCTTTTTCTTCGTATCTAGGAGGTGATTCAGAAGGAAGGTGTAGAGGAGGCGAGAGTTCATAGGAAAGACTAGTTCCAGAAATCGTATATACAGATTCACTTCCTCTTGCAGCGGCTGTGCCTTGGCCCTCAGGAATTGGGGTCCTGCTAAAAAGGAGGAAAAAAAAATAAGAAATGGAGGGAGGGAAGGAAACAGACCCACTTCGACAGTGCTTGGCTTTTATCAAAATGTTTGTTACTTGCATTTAGGAGTTGTTGTTGTTGTGTTATTGAGTCGATTTTGACTCATAGCAACCCTGTATAGGGTTTCTGAGACTATAAACCTTTGCAGGAGCAGAAAGCCTCACCTTTTTCTCCTGCAGAGTGGTTGGTGGACTCGAACCACCAACTTAATGATTTACAGTCCAGTGTTTATCCTACAGAAACAACACATTCCCCATTTAGGAGTACTTGCAAGGGTCGAAGGAGTAATGCCTTCCATAGTCTTTTCTTTATAGATACAGTTGGATTGCTTATCCCATTAACATAGAATCTATTTGAACTACAAAGTTCAAGCTCACCAGCCGCTCCTCAGAAACCCTATACAGGGTTGCTATAAGTTAAAACTGACTCGATGGCACTTTAACAGCAATCTTTACAGAAGCAGAATACCACATCTTTCCCCCAAGGAACGGCTGGTGGGTTCCGACCACCGTTTTTTCTGTTACCAGTCAAGTGCATAACTGCTATGCCAGGGATCCACTTCAATTGTTTACACCCTTACTTTTCTTAGAGCTGATTCTCCACAAAGGCAGTGGAGAAATGTGGGTTCCAGACCCTCCATGTGTGCCCTAGAGTAGAGGAGCCAGAACCTGGACTTTCAAGCAGAAGCAGTAAGTAAGGCTGTCTCCTCTCCAGCATGTTCTCACTGCGTCTCGTGAGCACTGCTCAATGTACGCTCTCCTTACCTTCAAAGCAGACCTTCACTGAGTGTCCTAACCATCCTCCCCTCTTTTTCCTGAGAAGTTTTCCTGCAAAACTTTCTTCATGGCCTACACCCTGACTCCCTGTTCAAGAAGGTATCTGATTCCTAGCTCGCTGAGGCTTGGCACTGCCCAGCTCTCCTTCCTTCCTTCCTCTCGTGTGGATTTTCCACAGGTCTCCAGCCTTTGACTCTTTCCCCTCCTGGTTCACAACTTCTTCGTAGTTCATCTCCAGCACCTGGACTCTCTCCTAAGCTCTAGCCCCATCCAGTCTACGTCAAAGACCCACATCTCACTACCCCTCGATGGCAAGTCAGCTGACCATCTTCTCCTGTTTAAACTGAGCTCACCTCCCACCTTCTCCTCAGCCAGGACATCTCCACTGGCCCGTTCACTCACCACTGCAAGTATTATCTCCGCCTCTTGCTCAATGTCCTCTCCATTACAGATTCCCTCTCCCAGTATCCCCTTCTTTCCCACCACCACAGTTCCAGGTTTCTGTCCCTATGACCTCAGCTTCCTAACAGTCTCCCCACCTCCAGCCTTTCCCCACTATTAACTCACCACCATTTGATTCCACCACTCAGACTCAAAATCCTTTCACTGCACCTGCTGCTGCCTGGGGGTATAAATGATTTACACTAACATGCTTAACTACTGACTGAAAGGGTGGAGGGTTGAGTCTGCCTAGAGATACCTCAGAGAAAATGCCTGGTGATCTACTTCTGAAAAGTCAGTCACTGAAAATCCCATGGGTCATAGTTCTACTCTGACACACAGGAGGGTCACTCTGCATTGGACTCTATGGAACATGTTTGTTATTTGGGGAGGGGGGAGGGGCTGGGGGAGGCATGGAGGGAAGGTGGCCTAAGGGACCAGTACTCAGATTTATTTTTTTTTAATCTGAGGCGGAGAGATTTTATATTTACATGCCTTCTGCAAATTTGAAGACTTGCAATCCCTGGAGTTATGGAAACCATATAATATTGAGAGGGGAGGCCCAGGTTGGTAAATCTGGGTGCTAGACTGACTCCCATCACGTAAGTGCCTCCGTTAGAACACTGGAGCACTTTAGTTGGGGATTCTCTGGAACCCTGAAACACCCCCCAAGATCTAACGCAGTAATGCTTTAACTAGCAGGAGATTTCTGGGTGCTGACCCAGCATTCAGTCTGATTTGTAATACATGTTGAGAATCACCCTGCTGGAGCCCTGGCATGGTGCTGTGGGTTAATACGCTGGACTGCAAGGTCGGTGGTTCAAACTCACCAGCCGCTCCTCGGGAACTTGATACAGGGTCACCATGAGTCGGAACTGACTCATTGACACTTAACAACAATATCACCCTGCTAGGTGTACATAGCAGTATCTGGAGAAACCTTTGTATTTATCGCATAACCATTCTTATTAGGAAAGACTAATCACTGAAAAAGGCCATCATGTTTGGTAAAGTAGAGGGTCAGTGAAAATGAAAGAAACCCTTACGAAAATGACAACAATGGAAGGGGCAACATTTCATTCTCTTCCACGTCTGGTGGCCATAAGTCAGTGGTGACAACAACCAAATGACACCAACTGCCTTCAAGTGGACTCTGACTCATAGCCAGAGAGTCTGTAGAGGGTCTCTGAGACTGTAAATCTTTACAGGAGCAGAACGCCTCATCTTACTGCCACAGAGCAGCTGGTGCACTTGAACCACCAACCCTGTGGTTAGCAGCCCAACACCTAACCCCCAGTGCCACCAAGGCTCCCAACAACCACTTTGACCATTTTTAATTTATGTTCTGCCCAAAGTTTCCTGAAAGGACAGCTAATATTATGGCAGTAATTCTGACATCATGTGAGCATATGTGATCCTCACACGCTCCTGTTAATGCTGATACTGCAGGCTTAAAGTTAATTTGTCTTCTCATAGACCTGAAAAATTAAACATGCCCATACTTGAAGTTCACAGATCTGTGCTGGAAGAAGTATGGCCAGAGTGCTTCTTGGAGGCCAGGATGACCAGACTTCGTCTCTCGTACTTCAGACCTATCGTCAGGAGTGACCAGTCCCTGGAGAAGGGCATCATGTTTGGTAAAGTGGAGAGTTGGAGAAAAAGAGGAAAACCCCAATGAGATGGATTGGCACAGTGGCAGCAGCAATGGACTCAAACATAGCAATGAGTGTGAGGTTGGCCCAGAACCGGGCAGTGTTTCCTTTTGGTGTGCATAGGGTCACTGTGAGTCGGCACTGACTCGGTGGCAACTAGCAACAACAACATATTTGAAGTTGAGATGGAAAATCTTACCCATAGTTAAAAATGCTGTAATATGAAGGTGGATTTTCATTCGGAAGCAAACTGTTAGCCCGAGGACTTCGAGTTCCAGTGGAAGCAGAGGGCCCAGCAAAGTAAGGTGGTGGGGGAGGTGGAAATAGTATCACCGCGTCACCTAAGGAAACACAACATTTAGTCAAGGACACGTGAGTAATAAATGGAAGCAAAATAAACGAATTCGATATTAGCCTCAACTAAACAAAAGAAAACATCTGCCATGGGTTCCAGAATGAAAAAGTGGAGCTATTTTCAGAGCAAGTCTCAGCTAAATTGGTTCTGTGAAGTGGTTGCTAACTTCACAGAAATCTTTTAACTTCCTCAAATGTCTCCTGCTGAACAGGCTTCCCCCTCCCCGTGGCCCCATTTTCAACTTACAATTTTAATTCATCCAAAATTAGCCATTGGATACAATGTCTTGTTTCTCAACAGCAGTGTCTGAAGAGATGACCCACAACAAGCTACAAAGTATCATCATTGTTGCCACAGTCAGGACTTTGGTTGTTGGTAGTTGACACTGAACCACATGCTACAGAACAAAATGTTGTCCAGCCCTGGGCCGTTTTCACAGTCCTTGTTATGGTCCAGTCCATTGCTGTGGCCACTGCATAAGACCATTGACAATGTTCTATTGTGATTCACTGGGTTTCACTGACTAATTAATTCTAAGAAGCAAATGACCAGGATTTCCTTCCTAGTCTGTCTTCATCTGGAAGCGCTGCTGTAACCTGCCCACCATGGGTGACCCTGCTGGTATTGAAATACCAGCACCACAGAAACACACAAGTCACCATAGTGCGACAAACTGACAGATAGGTGGTGAGCTTGTGGCTTATGTGCTTTCACAGTGGTTTGTGTTTTTGTTTTTTAACTGTATTGTGCATTCAGTGAAGGCTTACAGAGCAGATCATCAGTTTTACATTCAACAAATCATACACTTTGTGTCATTACAATGATTGCAATTCCCTCCATGGACCCTCAGTTGCTAGTATTTACCTCTCTCTATTCACTTTAACTCTTTAAGGAGCTCTGGTAGCGTACTAGTTACGAATCAAGCTGCTAATTTCACAATCAGCAGTTTGAAACTATGAGCTGTTCCATGGGAGAAAGACAAGGCTTTCTGCTCCTATAAAGATTTACAGCCTTGGAAACCCTGTACAGGGTTGCTATGAGTAGGAACCGACTCCACCACACATCATAACAACAACAATTTAAACTCTTGAGTTCCTCCCTGACTTTCAGTCTTTTATCTACCCAAATTCCATCCATGCTTTACAAATAAAAGTCCAACTCAAAGACAAGCTTAGTTTTCTATTTCTGCTGCTACTGCCCACTCAAGAACACCTCACTCCCCCTGCCCCCCACCCCCCATATTTTAAGAAGGAGAGACTAGGGTCCAGATGCAGGTTCCACTGTGCATTTTGATTCCAACGGAAAACGTACCATAAAGATTACCAGAAACAGTCCAGATATAAGGCAGCACACCATGATGCTGAGGTCTGAGGAAAGCATCTGTTTAGAAGGACTGGCTGTGCCCAGGGATAAAAATCATGCTGGGCACAGAGCAAACCCACTCAGCTTCTAACACATCGGCAAAAGCACTTTCTTTAGCAGCAAATTGCACTTAGTCTTGTGTCTGAAGAACCCAGCCCCTCCAATGGCAGTCTGGCTAGCGGCTCCACTCACTAAAGCCTCAGCCACTTCTCCCGAGTTCATGGGGTTCTTCAGAAGATACATTAACTCCATCTCTCACTCTCCATGGAGATGGCGATTAAAGCTTCAACTAGCTAAACCGAGGAAGGCATATGGTTGTCTCGATAGTTTGACTTTATTTTTAAAAGATCTGAGTGAGTCACAGGAATTAAGGTTGAGTGCTCACTTTAATTGCACATTGTAGAATAAGGCACTTGCGAAATAAGCCTCTAGGACAGGCCAGTCACCTGTCAAAAACAAACAAGGAAATGCTCAGAGCAACCACAGTTGTCTCTATGGTAAGTCCTGGAGCTTCCACCTTGCCACCTGTTCTCCCTAGGGTATGCCTTCATGACCATTCTTCAGAACTTAATGTGCTTTTTAGGTAACATTATACACCCACTGAGGGAGGACTCTGTCTCATACGTCTGCTTGTGTATCCAGCACTCAGCACTGAGCCTGCAGGCAGCATGGAGCTGCAATGGGGAGAGCATGGTTTAGGTTTATCCATTTCGGGTGGATCTATCTCTGTGGCTATTGCAGAAATAGCAAAGACCTGCCTCCCATGATCCGAATTCCCTGAGAGGGTCAAAAACCAGAACTGACAATTGACAGACCATGTCTAGATTCCTAATATCTGGAGTGGCATTGTAGGATAGCACTGGACCACAAGGTAGGTTTGAACCGCAAGGTTGGTGGTTCAAATCTACCAGCTGCACCTAAGAAACACTATGCAGGGTTGCTATGGATAGGAATCGACTTGACAGCACTTAACAACAACGAAACTGTACTCAAAAGCAGACAAGATTTCTAAAAACTTCAACTTTATCCCACACAATCATAACAGAGAAAAACACAGAGTGAGATTTTTGCAAGTCTGGCAGAAAAAGTCGGAAGGATTTTAAATTGTGCAGTGCCAACATCAGGATAGGTATAGAATTGCCCAGGGGTCATGATGCCCCAGCACCAGCAGCTCTACTGCCCTCTCCATCCTGATTCCAGCCAGTTCCACCAGATGGGAACTGCTAGTAACCCAAGAGCACATTAAGTGGAGCATATGAACATTCATGGAATGTAATTTCTTGGACGCCATCTTGCTCCCCAAAGGCCTGAGAACATCGGTTACACTGGTGGGTCCTTCAGCAACCACTCAGAAGACTTGGTGCAGGATGAAGCTGGGAGGGTTGTATACAAGGGCAGTACTTTATGCGTGCTCACTGGCCTGGGTTTGGATCCTGGCTCTGCCACTTGCTAGTCTGTGACCTTGCAGTCCCTATGCCTATGCCTAAGTTTCTTTATCTCTCAAATAGAGATAATAAGACCTCTGCCTCACTGTTCTGAGAGTGAATGGGTTTTACAGAATAGCCCTGAAAGGCCATAAGCTAATGCACTCAGATAAGCATCTGGCACTAGAATAAACTCTACAGGGAGTCACTAAAAGTTACAATCGACTCAGTAGCAAATAGTTAGCTGCTGTCCAGTCGGATTCTGACTCATAGCTACTCCAGGTGACAGAGGAGAACTGCCCCCACAGCATTTTTTTGGCTGCAATCTTCAGGAAAGCAGATCACCAGATCTTTCTCCCAGAGAGCTGCTGAGTGGGCTCAAACTGCCCATCTTTCAGTTAGTAGTCAAATGCTTAACAACTGTGCCACCAGGACTCCCTACACAATGTTGTTAGGTGTCATCAAGTCGGTTCCAACTCATAGCAACCCTATGCACAACAGAAGGAAACACTGCCTGGTCCTGGGCCAACCTCACAATTGTTATGTTTGAGCCCATTGCTGATCCCACTGTGCCAGTTCATCTCGTTGAGGGTCTTCCTCTTTTTCAGTAACTCTCCACTTTGCCAAGCATGATGCAGCCCAGGATAAAGTGTCAGACCATGGAGAACAAGGCCGAAAACAGTGCAAAAGGCTCCTTCAAAGCGTCTGAAGATCAACGAGCTGGAACAGACTTGGAACCCTAAAACGTTAGTGCTGGAAGGAATCTTAGAAATTCAAAGTTTTTTTTGTTTGTTTGTTTTTTACAGATGTGTAAACTAAGGCCAAGAGAGGTTAAGAATTAGTCAAGGGCAGCCAACCAGTGAAAGCCCAGGAATAAGACCCACGTGCTCTGGGTTGCAGTACAAGAATAATAGGGAATAACAGAAGACTGTCTTCAGAGTTCTCTCTTTCCCCTTCTATTTGTTACAAGGCCAGTCTTAATGCCTGAAGACTTTCTAGCTAATAAAGAGTTGCTGCGGTGGGGGATAGGAAGGGGGAGTACAAAGATTCCTATAGCAGCTGCATTGTGTGTGAGAGAGAGAAAGAATGAGAATTGAGACTCGAGCAAGCACAAGCATGACAGCCACCCACCTACAGTGACCTGGACGGGCTCCGTGCTCTGGACTTGTCCTTCTTCACTCTCCAAGGCGTCCGGGCCTGCACTTGTGCTGTTTCTTTTCTTAACGTGGGCGACCACGAAGAAGCATAATCCCACAAGTACAATTAAAGGTCCCATGATCTGCAGAGTCAGGAACCCACAGATTTGGGGTTCAGAACCAGCTATGTCGGTCTCATTCTGCGACCCTTGCCCCCTGCCAAAGTCACATCCAGGGACCCAAATGCCCAGTATGCTGATTAGCAGGCCGCTCATCAGGAAAAGAAACCCAAAAATGAGGCATTGGGCAAACTGACGGCTCTCTCCACAGATGAAGGCTTGGTTAGGGTCCAGCTGGTTGCCTCGACGCTGCTCTTCCAGGAGCTGAAGTCGTGCCCGGGAGCGGGCCAGGATCACAGCCCCCAGCCCAATCACAGCACATGAGGGCCCGGCGACCTTCAGCACCAGGCTGCAGTTGGCCAGGGTTTCATATTGGCATGCCTGGAATCCAAAGATGGACAGCAGGACTCCCACACACAACAGGATGGCACCAAAGACAAAGAGGAAGAAAATGAGCTTGCTGATACACCTGTCTCGCTGGTCCACATTGGGCTCACCAGCAGCCGTGGAAGACATGGTCAGAAGTGACTCCTTCCCAGGAGCTGGGCAGGATGTTTTTCCTTCCTGCTGATGCGTTTGATACTCTGCAAACATAATCAAACACCAAATGAAAGTGAACATGGATGTTCCTTTGCTAGTCATGTCAGAACTCACCCAGAGTAAAAAATCACAGGAAGATAGAGTCAACCACATGCAACTGAAGCACTTTAGAATGGTGGCGGTGGTGTGCTGTGGAGTCAGTGCTGACCCATAGCGACCCTGCAGAGGGTTTCAGAGGCTGTAAATCTTTACAGGAGCAGAAAGCCTCATCTTTTTCCCATGGTACCATTGGTAGTTTCCAACTGCTGACCTTGAGATTAGCAGCCCGACTCATAACCACTGTGCTACCAGAGCTCCTTTACAATGAGTTTGTTTATGAGTCCGAAGAGCAGGCATTCAGAAACTCCTTAATATGTAATTTTATGTTGGATCAACAGTGAACTGAACCACAAGGTCAGCAGTTCAAGCCCACCAGCTGCTCCTCAGAAACCCTATACAGGGTTGCTATAAGTCAATGGCACTTACCAACAGCAACAACCAAGAAAGGAAATGCAATTACTATGCATCTGAGATAAGAGAATCTTTGAAAAGCAAAACAACAATAATAGCCGGGTGGAGCTTTTCCTGTTTTGAGCCTCACAAACTCATTTTCCTGGGCCAAAAAAACAATGGCGAATGCAAGAAGAACCACAAGGATTTACAGATCCCCCACACTTCACTCTGGCTGTTCTGAGTATTTCCAAGTCGGTAAATTTTCGTTCAGTAACTAACTTTCCATTTCCTGCTTTAGGCTCCGGCAACTTTCCATTCGGTGCTTTCTTCCCAGGCTGTCTACAGGTTTCAAAAGAAGTTTCCAGTGAAGTTTTAGATAAAAAAGATGGGTCAAGAACACAGCCAAGAAATGGACTAATTCATTCTGTCAATTAATTCTGTAATTCTCAGGTTCTCAACAGGCATATCCAGGGGCCGCTTATCTCAAATGGTGTGAACCAGCTGCTTGGAGCTAAGGAGCCCTGGCTAAGGAGTTCTGGTAGTGTAGCGATTACAAGTTGGGCTGCTAATTTCATGGTCAGCAAATCGAGACTACCAGCAGTTCCTTGGGAAAAAAATGAGGCTTTTTGTTCCCATAAAGATTCACAGCCTCAGAAACCCTGTACAGGGTCGCTATGAGTCAGAACCAACTCCACAGCACACAACTATCAACCATCACCAGCTGCTGGGCTGGGCCTGGGGTGACCCACTTGTTTGAAGAGTCTGGCATAGAGGTCAAGGGGGAGCCTTGTCTCCAAGGTGGGCAGGTTCCATCTCATTCTCCTTTCTCCACAGTAAAAATAAGCAGCTGACCAACAAAATCACCAGCTACAAAACACTAAACACCAAAGAAACTTGAAAGTCAACTGGGAAAAGTCCTCCCACACAATCACCCCTGCTCTTGACTTCAACCATCTGGAGCTGTTAGATTTACCTGAGCAGTTACTAAAGAGCGGTTTAGTTTACACAGAGTTGACTTTTTTTTATCCAGTTTGCCTTGCTGGATAGTCTAGTGAATGGAATATTTTACCAGAACCCTTTAATTGTGGCATTCTCCAGGTTGTAAGGAGTCCTGGTATGACGCTATGGGTTATGCGCTGGCCTGCAAGGTCGATTTGAACCCCGAGGTCGGCAATTCAAGCTCACCAGCTGCATCATGTCAATCCTATACAGGGTCACTATGTTGTTGTTGTTCAGTGCCGTGGAGTCGGTTCCAACCCATAGCAACCCTGTGCAGGGTTTCTGAGGCTGTAAATCTTTACGGGAGCAGAAAGCTTCATCTTTCTCTCGCAGAGCGGCTGGTAGTTTCGACCTTAAGGTTTGCAGCCCGATTCGTAACCACTACGCTCCCAATTCAATGGCACCTAACAATAACACCATCCAACAAATAATTGGAAAGACTATTTACACTTGATCAAGGGTAGAAACTTCAGATGGAGGCTCTGAAGTCAAGGTCATATTCACAAACCAAGCCAAAATCTTGTGCATATAGGGTCAGTTTAGGTAAAGAAAGTAACAACTGGTCTTACACTAGGAAGTATTTTTCCAGGAAAGAGGATAGACTAAGAAGGAAGTGGGAGAAAAAAGGGAATATGGGGAATGGGGTGCAAGTTCTCACTTGAAACTCAGAAAATTTAAGTTATCTGAAATTAAGCTGAGACACGAAGACTAGATAGAGTATTGCACCAATTAAAAAATAAATCTGTATCTTTATTGCTTGTTACGGAGATAAGGGTTGATTTTTGGCTATGAAGTGTCATCAGGATTTCATTGTTTCCTGGTCAAATTTGAAAAGAGTCACAAAGTTTAAATTGCCTTAACATGAATTCCAAAAGTCCAGCTAATAGAAGCCCAAAGATGGATTTGTAGCTTCTTTTTAAAGAACCATCTGTGGTACTCACTGTAGGATTAACACTGGACTGTTAACTGCAGGGTCAGCAGTTCAAATCCACCAGCCATTCTGTGAAACCCTCTACAGGGTCGCTAGGAGTCAGAATTGGCTTGATGGCACTTAAGAACAATGACAGAAGGTCTGAGGAAAAGAAGATTTCCCAACAACATGGATTTACATAATGAACTCATTACATAGCAAAAGCTGTGAGGATGGCACAGGTTTGGACGTTGTACAGGACTGGGCCGCTATGAGTCCAGAATCGACTCAAAGGCACCTAACAACAGGTGGCTAAGCACCTGCAATATGTGTTAATCACCAACACAAAATACTCTGAAACTATACATTCACGTAAGGAGCTCTGGTAGCGTAGTGGTTACGAATCAGGCTGCTAACCTCGGCATCAGCAGTTCAAACTACGAGCTGTTCCTCAGGACAAAGATGAGGCTTTCTGCTCCCGTAAAGATTTACAGCCTCGGAAACCCTGTACAGGGTCGCTATGGGTCAGAACCGACTCCACGGCACATAACCATCAACCACCACACACTCACTTGCATTCAGAAAGTGAAACCCGTTCCAAATACCAATCTAAACTTAATTTTGTTGCTCTTGGATAAGTCTTGTGGCTCTCAGTCCAGTGCTTACCCTATAGCGCCACAGTAGGAGTCCAATTTACCCAAAGCTAAGTTACCCAAAGCTAAATCCCCCTCCCCAGCATTCCTATAGTTTCCCAAAAGGCATTTGCAATCCAAAGGCATCTCCACACGTCCAAAGTTTGGGTGAGTCTGGGGATCGAGGTAGAGAGAAGCCAAGTGTCTTTTATGGGAAATCGATCTTAAGGGTTTCAGGAGTCCAAGTGCAACCAACCGTTTCCAGTGGCTCCCAGAGGCGCGGTTTTAGCGCAGTGGCCTCTGCGTCTCCGCGCTGGCGCCACTCCGGGCACCCAATCTTGGTCGCAAAACGCTAGTGCCCCGCCCGCTGCCTCCTTGCTCCAAACAGCCCACGAGCGCAGGCCGAGATGCTTACCTGAAGCCGCGTCTTGCGAGCGCGCTGCTCGCTCCGGGGCGCGCAGCCCGGGAGGAGCCTGAAGCAGGCCGCCCGGACAGCACTAGCTGTCAATCCGAGCTCTGTGCGGCCTCCGCTGTGCAGACCGCGCCCTGCACTCAGCCACCTGCGCGTTCCGGCGGGGAGGGGCGGGCCCAGACTATTAAGAGAAAGAGGCGGCGCCGGGACCTGGCGGCAGAGGGTGGACTGCCGGCCACCGGCAGGTCAGGGCAGACCGGTGGGAGCTGGCCGCCACCGGGTGTTGCCTTCGGAGCCGGAGTCGAGCCAGGCGCAGAAATGAGGAGCGAAGGCGGCTTTGGAGCGCGGGGCAGGCGCACTTGGCCTCTGCCACGCCCGGAGACCATAAGCTCAAGGGACCAGGAAAGAATGGGCATCCCGACCACCTCTCTGGTCTGCAGCCCTGGGGAGCTCCGGAGAGTCAAAGGGCTTCTCCTAGCCGCCGGAACTGAGCGCTGTCCCGGTCTAGGTTCAAGCAGCGTAGGGAGAAGCGATCTCTCTGTGCCTAAGGTCCAGCTTTCGGGATGGTGGGATAGGGACGCAGCAAAGTAGTGTGAACAGGGACCCTTGGCCCCACCTCTTCGGTGTGGCTAAGGCAGAGGCTCAGCAGGGTGTCCGTGTTCCCGCCTGGGAGTCCTTGGCCTTAGAGCGCGCACAGTGCAGGAGGATACATCCCGGAGGACGTGTGGCCCTCCTACTGCAACAGGTGCCTGGCTTCAAATCGACCTTCATTACGGAGGAGATGTGGAGACTCTGGGCCACAGAAAAGAGTGCTCCTTTAGAATGCGACACAGGGTCCTCCATGTAGAAGCCTTTCACGCGCGAGGTCTCGGCTCCAAGGCTGAAGTAGGCCTCACAGGCCGGGCCCCTTCTATATTCATGTGAAGGCCCCAGTCTTCCTGATTCTCAACCACTAACCATCTCCTGGAATTAAACTGGTAACTTTCCCTGCCCTTGGCCCAGGAGTTTCTAGATGGGTTTGCTAATCCCCTGCAATTTGTAACCTACCCCGTGACAGGGATCCAACTGTGCCCGTTTCTACCTCGGAAAGGTGAGTCAAGGACTTAACTCAAGCACGGAGGGAACTGCCTCACGCGTATCCCTTCTTGCTGGTTTCTTGTCCACCCTGCCTGCAAGCCAGTCAAGAGTTAAATCTATTGTATTAACCTTTTAAAAAATGCAGGCACCCTTCCTAATTTTGTTGTTGCTAATTCTGGTGTGGTGAGGTGCTGACCAATAAGCATTTGACTTCAATGTCAGTTTGAACCGAAAGGTCAGTGGTTTAAATATACCAGCAATTCCTCGAAACCCTATACACGATCTTTCTGAGTTGGTACCGACTCGACGGCACTTAACGCCAAAACAGCAGTAGTTCTCACTGAGGGTCAACTATGACTTGTTAGCTGCTGCCCAGTTGCCCCTATTCATGGCATAACTGTTTCCAACTCATAGTGACCTGTCTATAATGAAGGAAAGAATGAAGCAGTGCCCA